CGAACTCCACAGAAACCTTGCTAAAATTTGTCGTCATGGCGTGCCTCAGTGTTTTGCAACAGCTAGTTAGCTAGCTTTCTTGTATTCAGGAGATGGTCAGTACTGGGTGACTATCTGTAATCATACTTACGTAGGCGGATTCACCATGAACCTCTAACGCGAAGTGTTGGTTGAGGCTCCTTTCATCTCCCGAGATGTTCCAAAATAGGAACGAGCATGTTTTTCTTTATGACACAAAAATTTCCACTTTAAATTCTCCCCGTTGACATCATTGATGCACTGTGTTATGATGTGTTTCAGATCCAAATTATACTGATGAGTAATAACCATTTTCTGTACCGTCTATCGTTGTCCTTATAGCCTAGCTCGTGTGGGTTGACGTCGACGAACCCGTAAAGAGGTAACCAGAAGGCGGGTGTGAAATGAGTGCTTCCGTCAAATAATGTGTCCAGTACAAGAAGCTGCGTTGCTAGGATGATGTAGCGCACATTCTGAACCATCAGTTTCCAACAAGCGTGCTGTTTTTCGTGTCCAATTCAGGTTAGCCGAAGCAGAGTTTTGGCCAACCATTCACCTGGCGGATTGCATGAATGAAGTTAGAAAAAGTCTGGGTGTTGTCAGTGCCAGGATGAGGGTCACGTAATCCCAATTGTGCTTAGTTTAAGAAGCCGTGAGATATGGCTGCTAATCGATATCAATAACTTCCCCGTTATCTATCTAGATTGCCTGAGTGAGTGTTTGGGAGTGGAGGAATCTCGAACTGATTGTAGTAGGCTAACACCAAGTCCCTTTCTCCATCCAGATTTATTCACTTATTCACAACACGGCTTACAAATAAATCAGCATCGTACCTAAGCGGAGCAACCGCAGTGAATGTGGTGTCATGCGGTCGACGATGATGTTAATTAAGTATAACCTCTTAGGTCGTATTCCATTTATTTCTAATACTTGTATAGGAACGCCACTTGTTTACTCCGAAGACGGATTCTGACTCTGCGCTCAAAACATAGGGCTATCAGCGGATTTCGGTGCGCAGTTCAATTGTAGTACTTGTGGTCTGAAATTATTTGGAATATCACCTGGAATATGTACTGATAAGCATTTGAGACCATACGGTGATTTCTAAGCATGTGGATTAAGTGTTATGCACTTTAAAATTGGAGTTAAGGTTCATCTCTATCTTGACTCAAACCGATAAAAAAGACCTCAGAAAAGGCACAGATAACAGCTCTGTAACAAACGTTGCTGAAAACAAGAACACGCTTGATTCTGTACCATTGAGCATACCACGTCACACAGCTACAAACAGCAAGAATTTAGAAGACTGAAGTACCATTATTCGATCAACGAATCTGATAGGGCAGAACTCACAACTATAAAGAAGAACTCTCCCTGGTCATTTATGACAAGTATGCCTAAGCTACGTCAAGATATCTCAACCAATATGAGTTGAGTGAGTGGATAGTAAAACGCTGACTTAGACCGTAATCAGCAACTTCCTCCACCCAAAGAAACCAGGACCGAAACCGTCCGAACTGGTAATTCGACAAATGGCAGGCAATTGGCAACCAGCAACCACAGCCAAGTACGTGGTTTTTGCAGCTACAGCAACCGTGTTTACCGAAGGTTGCTTCAGGAGGCCTGTCATTTTTAACGCACCCGAACTCTTACAAACATAGTTTTATGGAGCCTCATAGCATTGCGGAAAGCAGCAGCTTATTGATCAAGTGCCAAAATATCTTTGAGGCAAAGGGCAAACCAACACGCAAAATTATGCCACCTGTGCTTGGCTGGAAACGCCGCAAGAAATAGCGGCTAACTAATGTAGGTGGCGGTCGTGCTGTCAGCTTCTTTCCAGATTGTCTGACTGAGCGGTTGGAGGTAGAGGCACCTCATAATGCTTGACATAGGCCGGAACTATATTCTCTCTCACCCACTCTTTTTCTTTTCTTTCCACTCGAGCTTCAAATATAATTATATATATAATTAGACAGACCCTATGGTTGTACGCAGTGTAACGTCAGTATGAACACTGATTTGCCGTCTTTGAAAATGACGATGACGTTTTAGATCATAAATGGATTGATATTCTTTTTCATCCATGCAAGCGTTCTGAACTTCTTCAACAAGAAAAGTGACTTTAGATTATAAGCTACAAAAGCACACCCGGCTGTTATTCACGTTATTGAAGCATGGCTCAAAGAGAACATAAGGGATTTTGAGATGACAAATACATGCTTTTATACCTTTTTGCTATAGTTATCGAGGAGCCGTTGCAGTCTAGGTCAACTCCTTTCTAAATTTTAATCCGATCCATTTATATTGGTGGAAAGGAAACCTTTACTACAAAAGTTAGCCGTTCACTAAAGTGAACCGATCCTCCTTTGCTTAGTTGTACACTACCATACTCCTAAACCTTAGAGGTTTTGTCTGCATCTAATTGTGCCTGTAATTGATGCGCACATGGGTAAGTTTAGGCGGTCCATCGCAGTCAAAGTACAACCATCTGAATCAAAAACGTCTCATACGTTGGTCAAATTTGTTTTCCACTGACGAACGACGAGAACATGGTGAAGGTAGAGCCTATCGACATTAATCTTGATTTCAGTAAGCCATGTCCCGATTTGTCCACTAATCTGACACCACTGCATGACATCAATGGAAGTCCCAAACATTCAGCTAATAGATGTGTTTCTAATTTATGAGAACCCTTCTAAATGGAGAACAGTAGCGTCAGACTATCCACAAAAAAGGATACCTTTAAGTGATTAGAAGCGTTCTAAAACACATAGATGCAGATGCAAATAAATTTCAAACAACAGAAAAAATTGATAAAATTTGTGGTTCAAACGGCATAAATCTAGTGTACTTAGTTTAAACAAGCTTCCTTATAAAGCATGCTTTTTGAGCATTTGCTGTGTAATTTTATCTGTTTCCTCTGAATGGTCTATTAGGATTTCTCGGTTAACACGTGAAAACCAAAAAGGCGAATGGTGTCTGTCAACCCATATAGAGTGGCATACATTTCTGCGAGACAATTCATCTTGAGTCTTATGCCTATACGGTGCCAAAAACAATTTCTCCTAAATTTGTCCGAAAATTAATGCTCTAAAGCATCAAATGTCGCCTAGAGATGTTTGCCAATGAATGCAAAATTTTAGAAAAAGCATCAAAGAGAACCACTGTAATAGGACTTTTAAGATATTCAAGAATTTCATCTCCGAAAATGCACTGTGCAGGATCCTGTAGTGGCTGAAAATACCTCATTGGCGACATTTCACTACAAACTAAACAAACATTTGCAGATCTGAATGTTTGAATCGGTCTACGTAACATCTTGGAGAATGCCAGCGGTCCCACGGTTGATGTTTTATTACTGACTAGTGCCATGTGTGCATGACCTCTTGGAGCTCTGTGTAAAACCAATAAATGAATCAACAACACCAACAGCCTTTCCGTACGTGGAGCGAAATGGTGAATGCTTAATTGTGCGTACATGATAAATTCTGGAAGTCGACAGAGTCTCATTACTTCACAAAATATGCGGTCAGCCACAAGCAAGAACTGGAGCTGAGCTTGAGGCGAACTTATTTTCTACATGAAAATAACATCAGCCCTCTCTTCACTATCTGGGCGCGGATCATGTTAAAAACTCTGTCATTAATAAGCTACAACAATGTCATTATCTTCAGTAGAATGACATTCAGAGACTGATAAACGATCCCTCTTAATATCCTCCAAAACTATCCCAAGCCAATTAAAACCCCTCTGTACAAAATTGTTATGTTCTACGCTGAATTATTAAACCCTCAATGTATTGTATCTTCTATGCGTCCGCGGTGAACATGCACTAAAGACCGCTAAGTAAAAGTTGTTCTCAAACAAGGATAGTTACCATTTAATAACTTTTGAAGCTAAGGTACTGGACACACTCTTCAATGGAAGTACCCGCTACACAACCGAAAACGCACTTTCCAACTGCCTTGTTACGAATTCGCCGACACCAACCCACGCTAGCTATGGTTCTGAAACAATGATTGCCGAACACCTGAAGACGTTTCAGTTCCGCTGCTCGAGTAGGCCAAGTCTCACAGCCATATACACACGTCCCTCCAGATTCAGAGATAAACTATTCTGACGCCATAGGTGTCTCAAGTTAGCAAACTCAGCCCGATTCTTGCAAATTCGTGCATTTACCTCATCTGTCACACTACAATCAGAGTTAATACAACTTTCAAGGTTCGTAAAACGATCCACGACTTTCATTACCTCTTCCTGGATTGTAAGTGTTCACTGACTGCACGTTCATGAGCATGACCTTACACCTTGTTGGTGCAAAGTGCATTCCAAAGAACGGGATGACATTGGTCAGTTCATCCAAGAATACTTGCGCCTTCTCCTCCTCTTCGAACATGAGAACGATGTCGTCTGCATATTCCAGATCGACAAGTTTTTATTCACAGGCTATTTGAACACCAGGGTTTTAGAGACCTTGCGGCCTTTGTCTCACTGTTTCATCGACCACGAAGTTAAAAAAGAATGGAGAGAGTGGGCATCCCTGACGGACACCGCTTTGTGTGCGGAAGCTTTTGGAGAGCTCTCCGTACACTCTCACGCGTCCGGAAGTCTGAGAATACAAAGAACGTATTATGTTTACAACCTACGGGGCATTCCTTGGTGGGCAAGCGTCTCAAGAAGAACAGACCGATCAACCGAGTCTAATGCGCCTCGGAAATCCGGGAATACTAGAATTGTGGGTCGCTTTTACGTATGGCGTCGTTTTATCGCCTGGCGAAGTGTGAAGATTTGGTCAACCCCTACCAAGCCCGAATCACGCTTGCTGCTCTCGAGTCAGTATCTCACGAGCCACCGTAAGGCGACGAAGCACAATTGACGCTAACAGTCTCGTTACAACCGGAGTCAAGCTGATCCCCCTGTGGTTACCACACTCACTACGCGCCCATTTTTTGAGGACGAGCACTATCACCGATTCTCCTCAGTTGTCTGGAACAGATTTTTTCCCAAATGCAAGCAAACAGATCGGACAGGCGCCGACTGAGGACTTCACTCCAGTCTTTGAACAGTGCGGGTGGAAGGTCATCCGGACCAGGAGCTCGGTGGCGCCTGAGAGAACACATGCAATCGAGGAGCAAGCGGGACTAAATCTAAACCTAGGCGCAATACGCAACTGTTGTATGAATAAAGCTAAAGGAATGGTGCAGACTTAGCTTAAGCTTAATATGCACTAAAAGAGTGGTTTACCTTTATCACATTTATCAATTAAAGCTAGGTTTTATATAGCATCATAAGTTTTAAGCTTCATGTCACGAAGGAATAAGGGAAAGCCCGCTTTCTCTCCATCTTGATTAAGTTTGGTTTGCTTTATATTGTCACTGCAACTCAAGCTGACTACTGTCGTTTTCTTTTAGCTAGCAACATTCCGTCAAATGCCGTCTTGCGAATCTGCCAAACTAATGTAATGGAGACGGTGGACGTAAAGACAAATTTGTCAGTTCTTTCTGAACTGGAAGACGCCTACTCAAAATGCTTGGATGGTGAGGAAACTCCGGCATCTGAGTTTATCAGAAGTATGATCCGGCGTGAGTATGAGCGTGACTTAGAGTAAGCTAACTGTCATTTGCAAGATGTGTGAAACCCTGTCTTACTTTTTTGTGTTTTCCAACCATTTCCGTTTCAAAACCATTCCATGATGAAGATGCCAACTTGGAATGTTGAGCACTGTTCAATGTCTTTTTAGCAAAAACAAAGGGTAGGAGGAAAGTGTGATTTTAAAAGCTCGTTTAAATTTATGGAATAGAGAAAGTTTTTAAATTCATTTTTTGAGAGGTGAAGGCTAAAAACCTCATATAAATGATGAGTTGTGACGTTGAACTGCTGCCAGTATTTCTGGAAAAATTGTTGTCAATAGACAGGGCTAAGCATTTATTGGACAATCAGCGGGCGGTTGATGAGATCTCCGTTTAACTTCATTTGACTAGCACTGTATCTAGTACCAGATGTATCACTCAACCATTACCAACTTACTCATGAACTAAATACGGAGATAAAAATAATGTAGTAAAACTCATTAGAGGTAAGCTATACTCTTATCCGTAGGTACAAACGTTTCCTTCACACTCGTTTGTAATAATTTTTTTCTATTCCTCGGTTGGGTTAGATAGTGAGCTAAGTGCGTTTCAATATGCAGCAATCGTTCTACAATTTGTCCTTGCAGGGATGAAAAGTTGTTGGCGATCTACCTGAAGTTGTGTGGAAACAATCGTCACATGGGAGCAGTGCGTCTTGAAGATCGGGACATCAAGCCAATCTGTACAGCACTTTTGCTAAAACCCTGTATCACGATGCTGGATCTGCGATATAACCGCATCAAGGACGAGGGAGCCGCAATTATTGCATCATTTTTGACGGTAATTATTGTTTTGGGATTATTTATTCACACCCGTATTGTGTTTGAAAGATCATACCAAATACGAATACATACATACATACAAATACATTGCAGAAACTGACATTAATTACCACAGTTATTTAGTAAACTATGTTTTTCTGGAACGACTTCAAAACTATCAGTTTGGTAGCATCAAGCAGGGTTTTCATCTAAAACAGCTTTATCGTTTGGTGGCAAACAAAATAGTGTTAGGCAACCTTTCCATCAACACTGAGCTTCAATGGCGAGAATGGACTCTGGTGTTGCGAATGGGACTCGAACCTAGATCCGTTGTAAGTAGTCCTCAGAACCAGTAGAGCAAAAATATCTCGTCGGTAACGTGTTTTCGTTTCGTCGAACTGTTTTAATGTACTGATACTACCAGATTTGTCACAAATGTGTCACGTGAAAAAATATTCAACTAACCTTACAAAACTTCTATTGGTCAAGGCAGCAGTAGTAGTTTTGTAGTTCACTGAATATGAAGCAAGCTAACAAATTAAGGTGCACCCGTTTTTTGGTTTTGGTTGGTTGTAGCCTGTCACAGCAGTCACTTTTAGGAAATCAGGTACATTAATATTAGACCGTTGTGAAAGTTCCACATACGATGATTTTGCAATAGGAGCAGCATATACGATATTAATTTACTTGAACTGTATGCTGAAATTTAATTTTATCATTAAGGACGATCGACTTCTGCAAGAACTAAACCTGGTGGGCAATGATATAACCGAAATTGGCGCCGCTTGCATTGCAACTGCGTTACGGGTGAGTTTATTCCTATATGAAGTAACGTACATAAAGGAAATGTACCTGGTAAATGTGGTCAATGTGTAAATAATAGACCCTAGAGGAGGTAAACAGAAACAATGAGTTTCTAATGCACTGTATTATATTTTGCGCGCAACATTTGGGTACCAAACTTCTCCTAGAGCTTTGGTGCTACTGGTTTATAATAACCACCAAACAGCCACCTAATGACTTTTCTGCCAAGCCGAAAAATTATACTTCTTATAGGCCTAAGGTGGTCATGATGAAGTTGGATCCAGAGAACTCCAGAGATGGTACACTAAAATATCCAAACATCCCAAGTGAGCATCAGTGTCTGTTCAGGTAAACTGATCTTACCAATCAGCAGTTGGTTGGTCAGAGAAGTTCACCGTCAACGAGGAAAGGTTTGAAAACAGGGATAGTACCGTGCTAACAGTATGTAGACAAAACTGTTCATTGACGAAAAAACTCATTCACATATCAGCTTGGTGCTACTAGATGGCCTCTTACATTCTGCAAATGAATGTGGCACACAAAGGCCATCTCATGTCTCTGTTAGTATGGTTTTGAGATATTGCATCAACTTTTCTTGACGAAACAGGACAGTGCAATATCTATTTTTTTAAACTCAGAGACTGCGCCTGTTTATGGAGCTTCAAGAAGGGCAGAAACATTCACGGGCTGTTGGAGACTTTTACGTAATCTTGGAATAGCATTTTAGTCTAGAAAATGTATTGCAAAGTCTCAGATATCATACCAAATTAAAAGCTAGACGGCTTGTGTGCAACACATTCAGTTGAAGAATTTCACAGAGGAGATTTTCAGGTGGGATTTGGTTGGGTCTACGATTTGCAAATGAGTGTGTTTAGCGAACTGAAATGGGACGTAATATTGGCGGAAATACGGGGACTGCGCCTGCCTGGTGAGCCAAAAGAACGACAAGACCGATTACTGTTTCTCAAGGAGTTTCCAACAACCCTGTGAGTTGTACTTTCTGTCAAAAATAACGTACGTTTTTTTACTTACTGAACAACTGAAGAATCGTGTGGTGTTATTTTTAATGGCCTCACCCTATTTTCACACCAACTACACCGCACCAAAGCCTTTATCTACGTACATTTTGAGTATATTTGTCAAAAATTCGGAGTCCAGGGTGTTCCTCTCCCATAAGTACACATCTTTAGACTTGACCCATGCCTGGACCAATGTACTGAATGGACCTAAACTGTGAGCCAGCGGGGTGTTGAGTTATGTGGAACACCTCTCCTTCCTGGGTAATTCGAACAGTATACCCAGAACCAGGTGACTACCAGATGACACGATTGCAAATCAGATGTCATACGTAGAAACCATGGGGAAAAGGGGAAAAAGTTACAGGTCGATTCTCTCTGTGAAAAGATTTCGTCCGACTTGACACTGACAAGCAGAAGTATAGCAGTTTCAAGGTCAATAGTGTTTCTTCCTATGAGATGAATATATGTGAACCTCAGGTAACGTGAGTCCGCCTGGTATGTAAGACTTCCTGATCACTGGGAAACGCAGAGAATATTATTTTAGATGTTCCATCCTGCTTGAACTTCACATGACGGCAAACATGAGCTCTAGGTTTACCCTAGTTGACGTAAAAATAGGTGTTCCCTTGTTTGCACCCCAAAACTCCGATAGACCTTTTTTAGAGAGGCTGTTAATTGGTCGGGAATGGTGGATAATGGTCTAATGGGCAGCGGTGATACAGGTCGGTGTGCAAAATATTTGTGTCTACTGAAGTAAACCACGATGAGTTGTTTCTTTTTCCGTGTTCGTGCATGCAAAGCAGTCTGCTACTGGGAATGCAGATGTTAACCGGACCAGGATAAGCGGTCCTGGTTGTTGTTGGTGGGGAAAGTAGTGGAATTTCTGCCATATTGTGTGTATTATCCCGTATTGTGCGGTGGCACTTCCCTTACGAATGTAACTCGTGATGTACAGGCTGAATAATCGGCAATGCACTGAATGAGAAAATGTAATGTTTTTGTTTTAGCGGTGGTCGTGAAGGGTGTCCTCTGATGCCGTCAGTCTGGCTTGTGTTTTTGCTTTAATATTTTGCGCTACTCATAGATAATTAAGTAGTTCGACAAACAGTTAAAGCATTTGCACCCTAGGCCGCGGGCAGCGTCGACGCACGCATACATGGATAATGGAGATAGTGTGCACACGAAGATAAATTTCATGGTCAGAGCAACGCATAATAGCCAATCTTCTGGCATCCTCAAAAGACCAAAAGTAAGAGAATGGAAAGAAAGTGGAAACGTCCTTCTCTCAGAGGAAACCTCCCCATTGACTAGACAGTGCGGAAAGTATGCACTACGATCCACAGCCAACAGAACAGCAGTAACAGTATATACATATATACATGTATCGCGATATCTCGAATATCGTGGCAACTGAAACATGAGGCGACCTTGTGCAGCACACATTCAGTTGCCTGGAAGCATCACAAGCGCGAGAAAGTGCCTTGCTTGAGCACCGTAGCAGATCATACTGGATTTCATCAACTTCCCACAGCAGAACTCTGTCTATTTTTGCGCTGGGGTCGTGGTAACTGGCGACGTACCTTGTTGTTTGCCATCTGTGGTTTGAACTCGACCACTGCATCTGAAGTTGTGTTGTTTAGGCTTGGGCAACCTCGGGGTATCCCAGCCCCCATGCTTCCTTCGGATGACATGGGAGTTGGGCACCGAAAGGGTGTTGCACGATTGGTATATCATTACTACCTATATAGCCTAATTCTTCTTTTGGAGCTATATAGACTTAACCTGGAAATGAGTAGTGACTGGCGTCCAAGGTTAGCCCTCAGTCAATCCTTCCTACCCATATGATCTTCACAAAAGCTAGACAACATGAAGGCGGCTAAATATCAGGGTAAATGCAATGTTCCATTAGTCAACGTAGTAACTTACTGACAACTTTTCCTATGCTCCCAACGAAGCCTGGAGTCTTTAGAAGGACCTACCGTTTTGCGGAGTGCATTTTCATTGATATGGCAATTGTCTACGCAAATCAACAACAAGAGAATCGTTCTTCTGGAATGACACAAGGTAGTAGGTAGGTACATGAACTAGACTCATACTAGTGGGACGCAACGGTGAGTGTTCAAAAATGAGCGGTCGTTTCGGTGAACGAAACTGCAGCAGCTACAATCACTGTACGACAAGTACGCGGTTATTACAGCTGACAATGACGATGATAAATCTGCAAGATGTTTTGTGTCGAGACTTAGTAGCAGAATATCCCACAATTTGCCCTTGGCGACCTAGGAATTTAGACCGGGAGTTGCTATAGGTACACAGATTAGTAGGGTTTCACGTTTCTCACAAGTATTGACTGTACAGATCCGTTGCGGATAATATAAAAGCAAACAAACCGGCGGACGAAACTACGCCGTACAGATTCCGTAGCAGAAGCCTACGTTCAAAATGGTGGCTGTGTGGGTTAGGAGTATGATCTGTAGATGTTCCGTAGGATTTGGGAATTTCCACTAAAAGCGTTATTATTGACGGAGTGGCCGCTAAAAAGAGGACGAGTCACTCTAGGTAAGGAACACTATATTTCTAGTCACCAATGACTGTTCACAATAAGGCTTTCAAATGAATCATGGTTTTGCGGCAGCAAAGCATAAGTGTCGAAAACCAGTCTCATGCTGCCGATGCTTTTGATGACGATGACTGGTTTTGTGATGATGATGATGATGATGATGATGATGAGGGTTAGTGATCACTGGGTAATCACAAAATTTCTCAGTCATTTCGTACATCCCTCATTACAATTACGTAAACTTCCACAGAATTGGTGACCAAAGTTTTTTTCCAAACATTAAAGACGAGTTTTTTCCGAGGACCACTGTCTGCTGAAGCAAAAGTCCACCAAGCAAGGCACTGGCCATCGGGATGTTAAGACTGTAGTCACTCTGCTCATCGTTTCAGCCAATCTTATGCGTAGCCATCGCCTGGATGACTTCGCAGCCTAAAATTTTGTAGCAAAGTTGTGACGCGTTATTCGGCTGTGTAGTTATTTTTCTCGTTGCATAGGGGTAGTAAGAGGTTAGGTATTTGAATGGTGAAACTAGACTTAACCGCAAGTCATGTACAGTCTAAATCCTGTGAAAACCATGAGAAAATAATATCCAGAGATGGCTTTCTGGGTCTATGGGCAAAGTGGGAGTGAAGTGGGAGAATATATGCTGCAGCGTTTAGCGAAAGACAGCTGAAACAGACGACTTAACATGCGTTAATAGAATCTTAAATTTTTTTAAATCTAGCACTCATGCTGCTAATGTGTCGAACGACCCGGAGTACTTGATCCCACTCGGATGTTGAACAGCGTGTGTGACGTATGTGCACGGAACTCAAGTTGTCAACCACCTACTTCTTTCTTATGTGACTTGGATGTGTCGTTGGCCGAGTTCATTGCAGCATTTAAGAAGTAACTTGTATATGGCTGAAACAATTTAGTCCATGGCTATTCGGGTTAGAAGCTTAGTTGATGATACTGAACTACGTCAAATCGTTCTCCTTTTCGGAGTGTGGGAAGAGTTGCTGAAAAATTTCCAAGAGACTGCTTGTGGAATTCGTGTTTGAGTACGTCATTACAACAGTCAGCACATGTAATAAAGAAGAACCTGTTGCCGAACAAAACAATAAAAAGTCCGCATTTAATTTAGTTTAACGTTTTTTGCTGTTCTCTAGACGAACAACGTATTACTCGTACTGAAAATGACCGGAAACCCGATTGGATCTACCGGAGGACTACGCCTAGCCCAGGCTCTACAAGTGAACCGTACTTTGGAATTCATCGACTTGGGCGAGTGTGATCAAGTGGGTTTTCGTAGGATCTGCGTTCCTTTATCCAGCAGAAAATAATCCATGCTCTGATTCTCAAAAGATCATTTTCTGTGCTTCACATATGAATTTACCTAATGAACCAGGCGTACCAACTAATCTAGGAACCACTTAACTAGAGCGTATCAGAATTACTTACCGTTAACATTTTCCTAAGAAGAGTTATATTTTCTAAGACCATACTAAGGATGGCCTGATAGCCAGGCATGTGAACGTCTCCACCTATCGACCGAAGTGATCCAAATTAGTTTGAAGGTCTTCAGGACATATGACACTCATTTTAATGACAGACTACCGACCTGCTTGTAATATTATAGCGATACATTCAGTGAATTCGGCGAAAAAACTAACAGTCTTAAAAATACTAGTGTTATGATTGCTAATAAAAACAGAATAAAGTCGACTGGAAACAGTCTGACGGTTTTTCGCATTCGTGAAATTTGGTCCAGCATCCAGTGAATGCTGTTCATGAGTAGTAGTAATTGACCACGCCATTTGATACGATTTGTCACTCTGTAGAAGAGTTATTAAAACGCAAAAGTATGTAACTAAATCTTCCACGCGATTAACGTACTTTTTATTGCGAAATAATCCGTTTCAAAAAGTTAATGTAATGGTCCGTCATCCCTGTCAAAGCACCTTTAAATGATTTTTCTGGGAATCTAAAATGACCCATTCGGGAGTTCAAGCTTAAGGTTTCAATGTATTTTTCTCTAAGTATGTCAAATAAGCACCGACGCACATGATGAAAAAGTAGGTTCCATGTTTCCAGCGAACTACTGATGCAAGTTGTGACAATAAACGAAGTTTTGAAATTTCTTGGTTTGAACTCAGGAAAGCGAGTGAGATATTAGAAGTCATTTGAGAAAAATTGAATTCTCACGGCCAGAAAATGAAATTGGGAGACTCTGAATGTCCCATATTTTGAGTTTGATTATAAGCTGAAGTTTGAAACCAATCACCAACAAAGGGAACCTATAAATCACTAAGCTGGTAGATGGGCTCAACGTCTGCTTTCAACGAAGTCACCTATTACTTAAATTACCATGCGACTTTGGAAGAATTTTTTGAATTCTGGTACAATGTGTTTCTAAGATCGTAGAGCAAATAGGTGAGGCATACTGTGTTTGAGTGTGTATAGAGTGTACCCAGTCTTTCACAAAAGTCGCCTATTCGAGGGTAGTCGGTAAAAATGTACTTATATTCTGCTTCATAATCGAATGATCCATTAGAGTGACTTCGAATAAGCCTAGCTCCGGAACACCGGTAGCTTGGGTACGTTTATTGGTGGTTGATCAAGTGGCCTACACTGCATGACAGAAAGGGGTTAGCTATCATCTTATTGTTACAGAGAAGTGCTGCAAATGTGGATTGTAGTCCCTGATATCCTTGAGAATTTGAGCCACCCTTTCATGAAGAGACGCTGATTAGTGCTTGCTTGACCTTAAGGAATTTCATCATCCATGTGGCACAACTTTGCATTCAGCTGAATTGGTTGCAAGTCCAACAAGACAGTCGCCAACAGTATCTGGTGACATCATTTTCTTTTGTCTTCGCTTGCTATGAACGAGAAAAGAACGGCAAAGTGACACCTTACCATTCGTTTTGCTATATGGAACAATGTTCACAGGTTCGCCAAGGTCACAACCACTGAAGTCGCAGTGCCATCTTGTGGAAATATATTCGGTATTTTCATATGAAAGTTTTTTTTCCTTATTTCGCTAGACCATTACCAGCTGCATCGCCTTCGCCACGATGTTGCACCAGAACAAAACAATTAAAAGTTTGAATTTGAATCGTCAGTTATTATGGACGTTGCAAGAGGAACCTACAGTGCACATTGCCGAAATGCTTTGCGTGAGTTTATTTGTTAGGATAACTTGCTTGCGATGAAAATTTTTCACATTTACAGTTTGGAACGACAAGTTTCTAGAGAAGCAGTTGTTGTATTGTTCGGTCACTCCTTTGAATTTCGTATGAAGGAAAATTATCCTTAACAGACAGCATAAGGTTACGGATAAGCGCATTGACAAACAACCAACAGAAAAGGCTTTCCTTTCACGATTCACAGCAATCTCCTGATAGCCTATTGTGGATATTCGCTAAATGATTAGATACATGAATGCAATAGTCTAAGCTAATGACTGTAGCTAAATTGGTTGTCTGAAAGTTCAGTAAGTATTAAATGTGCGACCACGGGTAAAATCATTCAGTTATTGTCAAATTTTTGGCATATGCAGTCGTGGTATTTTGGTAAGTTGAAGCCACTCAGGTTGAAATGGCGGCTTCGGTGCTTACGCGTCAACATCATCATCATTAGGGATAGTAACATCTGTTGTGCCTCATTGTTATGCAACCACTTAGGTCTTGAAACGAAAGAGGATAAAAGAGTGGATGAGGAAGAACGTCGTTTATTTTGTTCAGCTGACTGCTCCAAACTGACAGGATGGATTGGCGTAAGAGTGAAGAATTTGAGCTTGATAGAGCGCCGAGAGCGAAAGTGAACCTACACACCTTATCATTCTAAGGTACAGGATGTCAGTCATGCTTTAAATGAGTTTCGCTTTGTGAACGAGCAATGTGTGGGCTCCGTAGATGAACAAAACCACTGCGTGAGGGTTTCTAATCGCTGTAGAAAGTCTTTTGTGAGTGCTAAAATTCTGCATATAGGCGTCTTCTTTCTTTTTCAGATCAATAACACCTTGAGGGAGCTACATTTATCCAAGGTGGACATGAGGGACTTCGGCGCGAAGCGGTTGGCCGATGCATTGGAACGAAACCACATGTTGGAATTGTTGGACATTAGTGCGTAAGTTGATGTCCGTAAATTATAGTACCCTATTTCAGCAGCTAGATCCTATTCAAATAGTTTTTTGACAGGGAAATTTAGCTTTTCGTTTTTGGCCGGCACCAGTCGAACCAATATCTCCGCCAAGATAAACCACTGTCAACGAACTAACTTAGTTCATTCTTGTATCTGGTCTGTCTGACTAGAGCAATAAGCATTCCATTAGAGGCAGTAAAATACTTTAATTTTCTAAAGAGTATTTTCCACAAGTAGGGATAATTGACTGCTCTAGTTCTACGCAGCTGAGGAAACAAATTGACGCTTCCAATAGTGGCCACATTCTGAAATGTCAAACCTTGGGTTATTAGTGCCTTTATGAAATAAGCATTTTTGGTCATCGCATCTAAGTGAAAGAAATATCTAATTGGCTTTCTGTAAATCGCAGTTGGACACCAATGTGCATTTACCATTTAGAATTGGTTGCGTTGTGAGTCGCTGTAAGATTTGGTTGCCTTGGTGCTTATTGATCACAACGCTCGTAACGGCCTGGCAGTAGGACTATCCGAATTAATGGGATTCGGATACTGAACCAGAACTGTTTGAAAGATGAGGCGACCACGAATATATCATTAAGTTTTCCCTAAAATAGCTCACAAATAGCAAGTTTCGACATTTTAAACTACCGCCAGAAGGTAAATTCTCTATATTTTTCTGTGAATGACGGAAGTGGAGCGCCTAGTAAAGTGTTTACCACAAACAGAAAATGAAATATGACTCCAGTTATTCGAAAAATCCAACAAGTTGACTGGCCTCCATTTGCTTTATTCGTTATTGTTTAACTAGTTTCCTGATAGTAACACGCCGTGTTCATCTTTATTCTGAATATGTGGACTCGGCAAGCACTGAGTGCTTATTGCACCATCGTATTGGCCAGAAAATTTCGCCTGGAAAAGCGTCCTTCATGATGAGCGTTACCATGTTCTTACTGAACTAACTTTTGTTCCCCCACTCTCTGCAAGCATTCTGAACAAAACTTTCAACCTCGCTTCTCTTCAGCAACCGCGTAGCGCGTGACGGTGCAATCGCTCTTTCTCGTGTGGTAATGGCCAATTGTTCCCTTGTTATTTTGGACTTGGCCTTCAATCGCATTCAGTGTGCTGGTGCCAAAGCACTTGCTACAGCCCTGATTACCAACACTCGTTTGAAAGTGTAAGTGAGTGGAAAATGCTCTCCTCCTCATTAACTGCCAATGTTGACCAGATGAGACGGATTTTTCAAAGGATGTTTCCGTCATATTTGGGCAAAATCGGGGCGATTTTGGCGGGTTTTGGAGAATTTCGTTTGTCAAAACGTAGGGCACGCCTGGTCCATAAATTTACCATCTGCTCAGCCCGCGTGAAAGTAATGAGCGAACAGAATATCCGATTTAAACTGATCCTTATCTGTCAGAGGTTCCTGTCGAATATTATCTTTTGGGCCTGTAGGGATTTCTGAATTAATCACAATAAATTGGGTTATCGTGAGTCATCACATTCTGTGATTATCAGAAAATCACTGCTAAGTCGTTGAGTGTACAGGTGCACAAAATCATAACTATGTGTAAAGAACCTACCGTATTCACCGGAGTTTAGTGCAAAATAAGAAATAGTCCGGTTAAAGTTGAATCAGCCATACAAGTAATTGATATGCATGATTCCGTCAAAAACCCAATATTTGATATGCGAACGTATGGTTACTGCGATTGCCATGTCCAACCGGACCAACAAGTAGTGTTATAAACCTCACTTTTATAGTGTTGGTAAAATTCTGAAGATGCTTAGATTGCGCCATCTCATTCATGATACATTCCAAGTGTTTACAGATGAAAAATGGCCATATACTCATTTCTGGGTGGAAAATCCTCTTATTTATTCAGATTTTCTAGTACATCTTTTTCACTTTTCGCCGAAAAATTAAGCCCAATATCGGCAAGTTTCTCTGATCAGCTTGTCACCTGATTTTCAATGTAATTCAAAGCTTGTTTTGGAGTAAATCATGAAGTTTCGCCACTAACATGGTTCACATGCGAGAAGTATTAGTACCAAGTAAACGCCTAACGACTTTTAAGGCATCACTAATTGATCTGGATATGTTGGCTTTCCGTTAAGCGCATTGACCAGTCGGCATTATGATCAACAAATGGGAATGAGCCACTGAGAGAATTCATCGTCAGCAGGATGTTTCCATACGGAAGGTCTGAAATATTCTCAGGGTTTCAGAATTGCTATTATCAGCTATTCGTAGGGCACTCTAAGTTATATCATGTGTATTTGAGGCTTTTTAATGAGGCGATCTTGAAAATGATGCAGTAAGAATTTACTAAGTCAAAAAGGTGGAAAATATTTTTTTCGACTACTTTAGGGACATCCATGCAAGTGTGCTGATTAGCCAATAATTTGCTTGCCATCCTAATCTAATTTACCATGATTGACCATATTGAAAGTTTGAATAAATCTTATGAGTTTATTCACGACTATTCACAGACTAGGTCAGGTATTACAGATTTCCCTCAGAATCTTCTCAAGTTACCAAATATTGAGCGGAATGAAATAATGTGTAAACAGCTAACCAATACTCGTAAGTTTTTGAAAGCTCTTTGTCCTGTCTTGTGCTCATCAGATGGGCGCCGTCCCCGGGTTCTACTTGAACCCAAGTTGCACCAAATTCGACAAATACTCTCATTTTCATGCCAATTTGATTTTTACGGAAGACTTACTTGAAGTCCAACTCAGTCTCTCGTTTACGATGTTTTTTAACTGGATGTTTTTATGTTATGCTTGATGTATAGTAAGAGGGGCATGGTATGTGAGCTACTACCAAATTGTCATACTCCAGTGCGCGTTGAAGAGCTTCCAGAAGGACTACAGCAACAAAAGCTCTTCATGTGTTGGGGGTTAGTGACGCAGAACAAAACACCAAGACACGAAAGATCTGTGTATTTTCTCTTCGAGAGAGTCCATTACGGGAGCAGTGCGTATTAGGCCCATATTTCAAGGGTGACCACTCTTCAAAGAGGTCATCGTGACCAACAGTAAGGACTGTTGTGAATTTTAAAGGACATTGGTTCCTCATAAGAGAGGTTGCTGTAAGTGAGCTGCCCCATATTTGTGGACATTCTTTACATGGTCTATTGATTACTTTGCTCTCCAGACTCGCAGTCCAGTTTTGTGAACTGAGAGGCCCAGGTTTGTGCGCGCTTGCCGAATCACTCGTAACCAATAGCACACTGACCAATATTTATATCTGGGGTAATGAACATGACGAATCCACCTGCATTGTAAGTCTGCACATGTTCACGTAATTCCAGCAATTCCAAAATTTCATCTCACCGTACCATTTTCTATTATCCGATTTCTAAAATCCCGCTGAAATGAATGAGGCTCTACTCCTGTCAGTGCTTTGTCATATGATTCATCAGCTCTTACCTAAACGTATATTAGGTTTAAGTTTGTTTAACGGCGACTTTCTCCCGAAGAAAGATGGGATATGTAGCGTAAAACAAGCTAAATACGCAATAATAGACATCATTGTTGAAAATAAAAAAATGGGTTAACAGTAGCACGTTGCAGTAGTATCCCAAAAATCCAACCCTTTTTCGAAGAAAAAATGCATCGTCCTCTCCCATCCACCCAAAAACTCCGTTATGAAGCCGCTTTGTGTGGGGAAAATATCATAACTTAACGAAACATACACTATAAGTCGCGTGTGAAATAACTTCTGAGTACCATCAAAGATGCATACGCCCTTTGATCACACTAAACTGAGGTTGTATCACACCCCATCGACATCCGTACCAGTAAGACTCCAGTGAACCAGAAATGCAAACCTGAAACGTGCCACCATAGTGACTTATCCAAACTTGTCGAACTGATGAGCGGAATAAACTAGGCGAGTCCGCTGAGGTTGTTCCGCTAATAGATATGAATTGAGCTAGTATCGCACGAATGCCAAAAACCTTCGCAGTTTGATGGCTGAACACCACAATGTTCCTCTGTGGCTTTCAGCACGAGTTTGACTAGATGGATAGTTTCTACTCTTTTAACTTGAGGGATATTCAGCATTTTCGCCACATTTCTGAAGTTTTAAACCGCTGCAAATATGCTTAGTTCGGAGCTGCTTGAAAGTGGAGCCGCCTCAGCTGACAGAAGTGTACTTCTCATCCGATGTTTACAACAAGCGTGCCCAAACGGGGATATTGAGGTTCTGAAACCGCAAACAACCTAAACATGCAACACTCAAGTGATTAAAATTCCAGTTCTTCTCGGCGGTTGCAAAACATTTTTTGTGGGAGTGCTTTCGGACGCCGTAGCATCAATTTGATGGATATGTGCATCATATACGATTTTGGCATGATACTCATTCGGTGAAAACCCAATTCGTTACCAGACTTTGCTTAGGTACTGGCAGATTAATTAAACGACAGTGATGCTCAGTAGTTGGCGCAAACGAAAGATTTACTAGAAGTTTGGAGACCAGTATCGTGTATGGTATTGCTTTTGCACATAAAAGTGATGTTTGGTGATGCTGTGAAGAATGTGCAGAACTAGAACTAGACAATTTCGTCACTAGTTTGTTCATTTGTCAAGTGTTTGGCTGGTTAGTGAAACATAATCTCAGAAGGATATTCTGAGATTCACTCCAACTTTGAACTTCCCAGGCCTGCACTTTCACGACAGGCAATGCTTCTTGGGAAACACGCCTGTAAATTTATTCATTACTCCACTGAAGTGACAGAATCGAATATGAATAGAGAACATAACCGAACATATTGGCTCGGGCGTTTCGTGCCTGATTGATTGGTCGCCCGCTGCATTAAACCTTGATGTGTTTAAACCGACCACATTTTGGGAGTTCATTTGTGCTAACCTCTTCGTAGCTTGCTTCTCGATAAAAAAGAGCAAGTGGACTAAACAGTTCCGTGGTTTGCCTATAGCACCTAGGTAACTAATCAAACAAACAATACTTCAAGTTGATTTGTTCTTCTGCTGTTCCGAGCTGTGTAATGCGACTATCTTCATTTAAAAACACTGGGTGTTGTTTTATATTATAACGAATAATAATTGACTAAGAAGTTCAAGCATGCTTCCAAACATGGGACATCTTCGGGGCTGAAAATTTTCTAGAATATGCAGCGGAGTTGTTATGTCTGCTCAGACCAAGGTTGTGTGGGATACCTGATGATTTAAACCAGATCTAGTACGCAAAGTTTCTAAAAGTATTCTAAAAGTATTCTACCTCAAGCTTCTAACAGTCTGTTGCCTTGAAGATGACGGAATATGGAGCAGAGGCAAGCGGTACCAAACATATCAGTCACGGAGCACAGAGCGTTCACAAGGCGACAGACTGAATAAAATGCCTGCATCCAGTGAATAGCTGAATTCCAACGTTTTTGAGCAGAGGCAAGCGGTACCAAACATATCAGTCACGGAGCACAGAGCGTTCACAAGGCGACAGACTGAATAAAATGCCTGCATCCAGTGAATAGCTGAATTCCCAACGTTTTTTTTAAATACTTGTGAAAATCCTGTCTCACATTCCAGTAGACATATTTATAAATGACAACAGTTTATAATCACAACTGTGCGTAACTCTAAATTTGTGTTAATTGTTGCCGTTTTCTACATAACTACCTTGTCAAATGTTTATGCAATCAGTCTATAGGAGACAGATAATCATCATGCCACGGAGCTCCCACTCTAAGGAGAAAGCACTCATCAGAACAAAATCCGAATGGCTTGGTCACTTGAGACTCACTCAGACGAGTCCAGTTTTAGAAGATATCACTTCCAGAATAGGCCAGCTTTATTCCTTTTAAGTGACTCCTTAAATCCTCCAACTTTATGAAAGGTTCACCATTCTGAGAGAACTTGATTGAGTGACTGGAGTGCAACCAGAGTCTTTTCAGCAATAGCAATTAGTACTTTAGGTTTTAATTGTCAGAAGAATTTTACTTTGTGTGAGTACCGCAGCTTGAAAATCACGTAGATTTTATTTGTAAAACTCCGCAGATGATGTTTCTTTTCCAGAAGTCTTCCCAGCAAACGGGACTTTTCTACATGTGAAACTCATTCCTAGACATAAGCTACGTTTAAATTAGATGTGTTGAAATGTCTATTATCTGATGAAGTTTCCTGCTTCACTTTTGCAGGCGTACTCAAACCTGTTGGAAACAGGCCGCCTCGTACCAGAGTGCACGGATGTCCGCCCTTATGTAGTTGATGGACGCGTCTATCTAGCTCTGTTGGACCATGACAATACCTATCGTCTTTATCGATTTTCTGTCCCGTGGTGGAAGGGATTTGCTCCAAAAGACCGTTCAGTTGCTTTGTTCTGAGTAAAACCACTCCTTCTTCTAAAAGAGTTGATTGAGATCACGAAGTGTAATCTCTTTGAAACCAACATAGATCCGAAGCTATGAACAATTCAGGGGACTGAGCTGAAGGCATCTTAGTGCATATACACAAAAGAACATCTTACATATATACCTATGAACTTTTCAGATAATTTATTTTAAGTACAAGACATATTCTTAACGTCAGGTGGGTTTGATGTGAGGCCTTAAGTCCTTTGCTGGATTGGAAATATAAATAATATCCGGCATTTCATTCTTCTAACATATACTGCACGGCTGATTTCCCAGCTTCTGCTCAGGGGGCTTGTGTTTTTAACATTAAACAAATGATGTAGTCCGGTCAAAAATGTGTCCCCAGCTGTACAACCACATTTTATTCCTCCAAATACACGTCTTGGCGCTTCAACCTCTGATATACATAGTTCAAGTTGCCTCATCAAAATTTCGAATTTTCTCTTCAGCTTTGATTTTGGTTGTGCACTTCAATTGGTGAGAAATTTTTGTGTCCCGCTCTTAATGTCAGTACATTAGTGCAATAACAAGTCTGCCACCTGGAAAAAAGCAAGTTTTCGCTTTTTAGCAGGCTACAACAGCCCAAGACTTTACCAGAAATAAAAAACATAGCATTTGGTACTTCTTACAGCCACAGTTACGATTGTTTAGAGCTGTGATAGTTAGGAAGTCCTGTGTAGGCTGATGAAACTTATGACCGACGATTTCACTTCGCGTCCAAAATTCTCGGCAACTCAGATCCATTTGCTCTACCCATTAGAAACTTGGTGAACCCTCAACTCTAAACCACATGTAAATAAATAGCATTTCTCTAAGATTTATCAAAACAAATAATATCAAACTAATATCAAAACTAATAATCATATTTGGCTGATCTCCTGATGAACCTCAAAGAGATTAACTCCAAGACTTATAATATTCCTAAGTAATTTCCTCCATCAGAAAATATACAGTCAATGCAGCCCAGGCTAATGATGGAGTACATTTCAACTCTGAACCCATATTTTATCAATCTACGTCAGGTGAAGCTACCAAGTCTTCAAACTCTGTTCTCTAGTTTTCCCGGAACATAAATCCGAATATTTGTTCTTCTAGAGTTTGCGTGTTTTAATGAAGTTGGTTTGGTCGGTTTCCTATTTTCGTGCGTTCATTCCCGTTGAAGACAAGATGAGGAACGAACATCTTTCCGGCAGGATTAATTGATCTGATGCAAGCTTGTGATATCTCATTTGGTTGTCTATTTGCAACCCATTAAAATTTGACATTACAAAAAGATTGACTGGATGTCAGAAGAAAAAGGCGACTGGCAAACAAAACATCCAATGGATCTGAAACGGTGCTTTTTTAACGAATCACACCTGCGAAAGCACAGTTTCAGGGCATATTACTGGACAATGAAGAAAGTTGGTGTATTGTACAATGTCAGTTCCAGACTGATGTACATTGATGATTCACGAGTCAACGCCGGTATATTGAAATAGACAGACAACCGTGAGACGCATGCCTTAGGCAGCCAACCAACAGTAAGTAGAGACACAACCGATGATTGTACACAATTTCACTTAGCTGTATCAGATATCGCTACTTACCGGTAGTCCGGAAGGCATTGGCCTTTTTCAGAGAGTTAGAAGGATTTTGCCTGATGATTGAGGAGGGAGTCCTGATTTTGACCTGCTATGTATGGTTAGGACAAAAGTTCCTTGTAAGACTTGGCCTTAGCAAACGTTTTTTGTTGAATGGTGACTCCCAGGGGATCATCATCATCAGCTGCAGGAGAATCTGTGCATTGGCTTCTGCGAGAGGGAGATATGAAAGCAAATTTATCGAAACTTTAGATGCTTAGTCAATGCTAAATTTGTCTAATTCAAATCAGGGCTGAGACCTACCTTTACTTTGGAGAAAAGAGCGCATTTCTTGGCACAGAACACTCATTCGTCAGCGGAGCTGCGGGCGATCGAGCGACAGGTGGTACAAATCTGACTGATTCTTTATATAGGACGATGGAGCTGTAGAAACTTACGCATGAACATTGCCTCAAGGTCATGGTGAAGGTGTTATTGAGTGGAACGCACTTTCGATAAGTATTCTTTTACAGACCACTACAATTATTCGAGTAGTGTAAAAACTGCTTGGATTTTACGGTGGTTGTCCACGTCCAAGAATTCTGAAGATGTGAATGCGAATTCGCAGCTTAGTCTCCTGTTTGGAAGGCTATGTTCCAGGTTAATCAATAAAACGGAATTCTGCAACTCGAAGTCAATATTGCCAGTCAGAACTTTCGAAAACCCATCGAGTGAGCCCAGCTGAAACGTTCACGATTTGGTAGCCAGTGACAAACACAGCTGATTCACACTCATGTAATTCGATTAATGAAAGTGCTCGAATCGAGAGATTGGGATTGTTTTTGTGCCTTAGACACCACAGGGTGATAGTTGATGTTACGAAAAATGTTCTACGGTTGTTCGTGGACTACTAACAAGTGGTATACCATTGTGAAGAACAGTTTGCATATTTGCCTAGAAAAGCGACAGCACATTAGACATCAACTGTCCAAAGGTGAAATGAAAAAAACCACAGTCCAGTTCTAATCTGATCTTGAACCCTCAGATCTCGATAGTCAGACAGATGTCCTCCTCTGGTGGCTTCAAACAGTCAAGTTCCGTTTATGGTCAACGTAATCCCATGTCAGTGTGTCAAACGTATAATAAGAATCTAAAATCGGTTCTCAGCTCTAGGAGAACCAGTTTACAAACTTCACTTACATTCGCATATGTACCCATTTGAACCTAAACTATTCCTGATTCCAGCTTTGGAAACTGATTGTTGGCAAGCGCTGAGCATGTGATTCGCTCCCCATCCTCTATGCTACTCTGCACACACGCGCATTGTCCGTATGCACGTCTATTCAGGTTGTCAGTCTGAACAGGCATTTTTTTGCATGCGAACTGTCAGAGTGTAAGCAGCCTGCCAATACACCGACTTGAATGTCATCTAGCATGAAAGGCTGATTTATGGAACTTTGAAATTTTACCTCTTTGTGTCGGCAGTAACAGTAGTACGAGGCTACGGCTGCTGTTGCTATTACGGTGACTGCAGATGTCTGACTGCCATCCAATCAATAGGTTGGGGAGTACTGACACAAAGACAGCTGCATGAACCGGGGGAGTAAAGGAGCATGGGTGGTGGGCAGGAGGTTTTGGCAGAAGACAGGAGTTCAAAACACAAGGTATTCAAGATTTTTCCAAAGGGTGTTTCGACATTTGCGATCTAGAATGATAAATGACATGTGGAAATGAAAATTATTTATCTTCAGTCGATGAATAGGTTGACTGTCACAGATGATCGAGGGCTAGAAATATGTGAGCTGGCTGTTTTAATTTTGTGTCCAAGGTGAAATACTAAACAGCTTATAGTTACTTTATGCAAAGAAAACGTCAGCGGTTGTCCGTTTTGATCGAGGGCTAGAAATATGTGAGCTGGCTGTTTTAATTTTGTGTCCAAGGTGAAATACTAAACAGCTTATAGTTACTTTATGCAAAGAAAACGTCAGCGGTTGATCCGTTTTGACCTAATTTGGAATCATTCCAGCCAGTAATACTACAAATGTCAGCATCTAATCAATTAAGTGTCCATAGCCAAAGTTACAGGGACGATTCTAAAAGATTATTAGTTGTTGTATCCAACTAGGGGGTTGAGTGCTCATTAACCATTTGTGAAGATCGATGTGAAGTATACGAATAGTGAAGTAATGGAATTGGTTTCAATATCACGACAAACGACGTGATCTTCTAAGAGGCCTATTGTTGGACTGAAGTTGAAGGTTTAAACTTTAGGGTCATCTTCCATCTGCCACTCGTGGACTTTCAAATGGTTTATTCATGCCTGTTTAGTTCTGTCTAGCACCAAACTTTCGCGGATAGTTTGCTGTTTCGGGGGAAGTAAGCAGCACTGAATTGTGACTGTTGGTTTTAAATAACAGACTGGGCGTTGACCCTAACGGTCGAATAGCTGAGAGTGACACAAAAGGTTATGAATCACGAAAGGTAGATGCCTTTTACTGGTCCTTTCCTAATACTGGCTAGTACGAATCAAATTAGTTAGCAGTTATCGTTTGCGGTACATCCGAAGAATAAGATGCAAAGGGTAATCCGATTAAAACTTCAAGCCAACCTTTGTTGATGAGAACCTATCTCCATTGTTGTTTGATTAGGTCGTTTTCACTCATTTAGTCCTCCAGATTCGGATCTGGGACTTTGTACAAAAGCTGGTCATTGACAGGGCTGACCGGATATGGATGTGATTGTCCATTTTCCGACGTCACCTGTATCAGTGGCTATTTCTTAAGGGCTATGGGATGTAACATCAATGAACTTGAACCACGTTCTTGTACAAGCCAAGCCGTCAAAACCCGCTAATAACGAATCAGTGTCGTTAGCCATAATACTTTTGTCTTTATATGTTTCCATGACCTCAACTTGTCAAAATTAACCTCGAAAACAACCTGAATTATCGCGCATTCTATTTGTCCGACGCGCTGAACAGTACAATAGACGATTCTGTGTCACCAAAACCAGGTCCTTAATGTTTTTTCACGTGTAGAGGCACAGGCAAGTTATATTATGAGGAACGCTGTCACTCCTAGCTATTAGCTGCAACAAGGATGCTGCTACTAATGACCTTAGTTGGATTCTGTGCTATGTTGTTAAGCTTGAAGCTTCCACTCATTTTGTTCTAGTCATTCTGTGCTATGTTGTTAAGCTTGAAGCTGATATAATTGAAAAGCTTCCACGCATTTTGTTCTAGTTGCTCATTTAAAATACTTTATTAGACATGACAGCGTGTTTGTCCATCTGCCTCTAACTACGATACTGCTTTTACCATCGCGGATGGTTCTAGTTTGAGGCTTCTTAGTTTTGATCCAATATCTTGTCTCAAAGAATTCCAAACTTTGAGCGAACCCAGCCCGTTTGCTTTTAGGAAAAAGCAACATGTAGATTTAACAAGCACTATAAACTGGAGGAAAACCATAGATGTAAATGCACCACAAAACCTATTTCAGAAACTAGTGACGGAAACTCTTTTAACAAGCACTATAAACTGGAGGAAAACTATAGATGTAAATGCACCACAAAACCCATTTCAGAAACTAGTGACGGAAAATCTGGGACTGCACCTACCTGATGAGCCCCAAGAAGGTGAAACCGGCAGTGGGCTTTCGAAGAGTTTTCAGCAACC